CGTCACAGGAAGTAGTTGACAACCCACGATAGCCTTAACAGTAATGGCAGCATATAAGGAAACTGAAGTTTTAATCACTTCAATCAAAAAAATCAATGACGTTCACTTTCACATTTCACAACATTTTACACATGTATTATGCATTCATGCAATGTAAGATCTTGCCTAGATCTTACTGTTGCATTAATTTTTAAAGAGCATTGTATGCTAAAATACCATGCAAGAACTTGAAGGAATCTTGATAGCAAGATCTTCCACTATCTTACATGATCCTTGTTCCAAATTCAGGAAAGATCCTGTTAAGACTTAGTAAGAATCTTGAAAAGATCTTGCATTTGATCTTGCAAGAACTTGAAGGAATCTTGATAGCAAGATCTTCCACTATCTTACATGATCCTTGTTCCAAATTCAGGAAAGATCCTGTTAAGACTTAGTAAGAATCTTGAAAAGATCTTGCATTTGATCTTGCAAGAACTTGAAGGAATCTTGATAGCAAGATCTTCCACTATCTTACATGATCCTTGTTCCAAATTCAGGAAAGATCTTGCGAATTATTGTCAAGATTCTTGTCATGATCTTGTAAGAAAATTAACAAGATCTTGCTGGGAATTTTTACAAGGGTATACTTGGCAAAGGTTTCTTCAAGAGCATCAAAGTATGATTCTAGTACTTGATTGTTTGATGCTTGAGCTCTGGATAAAGACAAGTGAGATAAACTTCGTAATGATATCGAATTGTGCCTTTTACAAAACGATTCCCACCAACCACGAGTGACATTGATGTCTTTACCTCTGAGCCTACATGCTTTAGTTATAACAGCAATGACTTCTTGCCTGGTACGTGGATATCCTATCGTGGCACAGCGTAGTAAAAATTGAACCAGCTCTTCTTCTTCTTCATCTGATAAGTGTTTACTTTTACCACTCTTTTTACCGTGAGGAACACGTCCTGTTATGCGATCGTTTAGAGTTGAACGTGGAACATTGTATTCTAATGCGGCACGTCTGACAGTAAATCCTTTTGTAATAACAGCATCAATGGCCTTACTCATAGTATCATGAGACCATTCTTTATAATATGAAGGCCGACTAGCACTGGAAGTGGCCTGCAGGATCACTGGTGAACTACTACTGGTGCCAGCTCCACACTTAAATATTCTGTCATGTAAATTGATGCTTACTTGATTCATACTAGCTTCCTAAATAAAATTCGTGATAAGTA